CCGCTGAGCTAAATCCCCAGCCCCTCTTTAGGCCTATATGAATGGCTGCTTCATTGTATGTATTTGGCTAATGATCTACGGAGATTTGGAAGGAGCAGCCAGAGACCTACTAAATAATATGGAAGTTGAGCCAGTGCATTTCCCCTGGAGGAAACTTGTGGGGAGATAAGCGAGGCTAGAACGCTGCTGCTAAGCAGAACCTCAATAAAGACTTGATGGCATCTGTAAAAGGCGAGATGATGACAATGCTCAACCTTATAGGGCTGTCCTGAGAGTAATGAGATACTACTTGAAAGAGCTCAGAGTAGTTCTATATACATAGTAAATGTTAAATAATGCTAATTATTATCATAGGCTTGGAATATTTGATGTCTGCATCTTCCTAAGATGAGTGGCCATTCATTCCTTCATTCATTCTTTAATTAATTCAAAAAATGTTTGCTGAGTATTACTGTATATAAGGGCCTATGCCAGGTACTCATGAATTATGGGTTACAAATGGTTTATCATTCAAGGAGCTGGGAGGGCTGTGTTATGGCTTATATCTAGTTGTTCTCCAAGGCCTTATGCATGCATAGGTGGGGCTTTTCCAAACTGGCTGGATCTAGGGTCTCAGATACTGGGATTAAGAGTGTGTAGTACTAAATTAGTTCACTGATTGGAATTAGTATAGTTCCTGGTGGCACCACCCAAAAAGATGGTATTCTTGATTAAAGGGAAGGCAGGCAGGCTGGCTGCTGCTTGTTTCCTACTGCTGCTAACTCCTGCCTGCTCTGCCATGAAGTGTTTCCCCTCTGTGATACCCCTCTGCCATGGCACCATGCCTTGGAGCTAGCTGATTATAGACTGAATCCTTTACAAACTGTGAGCTAAATAAATCTTTTGTCTTTTAATTTGTGGGTCTTGGGCATTTTGTTTCAGCAATGAGAAAAGTAACTAAGACAGGTTGTTTGTTTGTTTCTCCTGAGAATAATCTGAGGGGTTGATAATGAAAAGGAAAGAATAGTTGAACTGCTGCCAGCCTAAGTAAACAGAAATTTCTCTCATCTAGAAAGAGTACAGGCATGGGAGTCAGAGTGCTTCTAGGTTCTGGTGCCATGACATGATCACAGCACCAAGATCAGCTGGTGTGGTATGGGGTGGGAGGTAGTGGACATGACCCTGGGACTTTCTCTTTGTGTTAATTAGGGTGCTCTAGAGAAACAGAATCATTATAAAATGTATGTGTAATTATATAAAGGGATTTATTAGGTAGGCTTACAGGATCAGAAGCAGAAAAAGTCCAAAATGAGTGCCTGCATGCCTGAGAGCTGGAAGATCTGGCAGCCGTCAAAAGTTGAGTTCCAGGAAGCTCACTGCAGTCACCAGTGTAAGTCTGTGTGCAAGGACTGAAGAGTCTGCACTGGAAGACCAAAAAAGGAGTCCAATGTTCAAAGCCAATGGCAAAGACTATAGTGCTTCCAAAACAGAAGCACTGCCTTCTTTTCCCTTTATTCCATCCAGCCTACAAGCCTATTGGTGGTGTCACCTATATCTAGGATTAGTTTTCTCCCCTCAGTTTTCTGACCTACATGTCCATTATCCACAGACAAACCCAGAGCTTTACAAATCTGCTAGATGGTTCTTACTTAAATCAGGTTGACATATCTCAATGAATTATCATATTTATAAAGTCATCTCCTAAAAGCAATACAATGAACTCAAATTCCCCATCTCAGTCTCAGGACAGTGGGAAATAGGGGTTGGCTGCCTCCTTTCACAGAACTTGAGGTGCTCATGCAACAGGCATCCTGCTCCTTTAGGCCCGAAGAAGCTTCAAATGCTGTTATACTGATCTTAGATGGAAAGAAACATTCTCTGCTGAGGCCACCTGGGCTCTGAGCCACAGGTTCTGAATCACTAGTAGTTTCCTGGGGCCAAGGCTGATGTGTTCCCAGAATCTACTTTGGATTATAATTAATTATAGAATTTCTGTTTGGCAGAACTGGGCTGGACCCTGGAGGAAATGTCATTCAATCTTATCAGTTTGCAAAGGAAATCCCTTAAAACCAGAGAAAACCAGGTTCTCCATACTCTCTGCACAGTTCTTCCCCCTTTTTAGCACAAATATCATCTCTACACCAATAGTCCATGTGCTGGCTGGGACATTTGCATGTTATTCACAGCCTAAGAATTTTGCATTAAATGTAAAGCCTAATATATTTGAACTATAATATAAGATTTCATCAAGAAACTTCCAGGTTTTAGTATGGAAGATGGTAGGATGTTCTTTCCAAGTTACAAAAAACTGACATCTATTGCACTTTATCATTTATGTAGATTGGTGTCCCTTCGAGGAATCATCCTCCTCATCATCACCGTTATCCTGGCTGTCACTCTGGCCATCAGCAAGGACCACCACCAGCAGCAACAATCACCATTGTTGTCAAAGTGGATACTACGGGGCTAGATCAGTGGTTCTCAAAATGTAGTTCTGCACCAGAAGCATTAGATTCACTTAGCAACTTGTCAGAAATCAAGCAAGCCCAGTAGGTGGTTGTGATGTACAATGAATCTTGAACACCACTGTGCTAGACTGTGCCAAGGGCTTTTAATGTTTTATCTCATTTGTTCCTCAGAATTGCTCTCTGTGATAAGCACCATTATATTCATTTTGAGAAAATTGAGACGTAGTGAGGTTAAGTAACTTCACCAAGGTCACACAGCTTGTAAGGGGTATAACGAGGTCCTGGAACACATTTGTTTTACTGCACTGTACCACATTTTCAGCGGGAGCAAAATTTGTCTCTGCTTATCTGCACAAATTCTCTGAAAATAAAAGTAAATTTTCCTCCTGTGTATGACAGGAAGTTGGAGTTTATATTTATTCAGCCTCATTCCCTGTATAACTAGTGTGTTCCATGTCTACAGTGTGGCCTCTGAGGTAGTGGCATGTTTGCAAGTCCTGCCTCATCTTCCCTTGAAATCAAGCCAGAGAGGGTTCCTGAGCAGGATCTGTGGCCACTGAGGTCTGTGGTAGAGAGCGGAGTGGGCAGAGCAAGATGAACCTGGGACCAGTCACTGAATAAGGAAGTGGAGATGAAGAAGAAGTAACACCAAAAGAGAAAGGAAGTAAATAAGGGCCAGTATTCCATAAATAAGTAGTCAGATACCGATTATACCGATGAACAAACTGAACCTACAGGGCGATCATGTGACACATGTAAAAGCACTCAGTGGGAAACATGATCTAGGGTTTGACATTGGTGTTTTTGAGGTTAAGTTCAGAGCTCATTCTACAGTAGGCAATGGCATATGAAAAGCATACATGGTAGGTTATGAAGAAACATCCATTGACAGGGCTTCCTATCTTGAGAGTCATAGTGACCTTCAGAGGATTAATGAGCCTACTGAAACCAAATGAAAATGTAGAAATTGTGGAACATGTACATTTCTATCACACGCACACCTGCATTAGTACTGTATTCTCTAAAGAAACAGATCCAATAGGAGATTATATATATATATATTCCCTGTATAACTGTATATGTGCATATTCCCTGTATAACAATTGTACACATATATATATGCACATATACAATTGTTTTTTGCTGTACTGGGGATTGAACCAAAGGCCTTTGCACTGACCTACATCACAAACTTCCTTGTTTTTTATTTTTTATTTTGGGACAGGGTCTTACTAATTCACTGAGTTGCCCAGTCTTGGCTAGAATTTGTGATTCGCTTGCCTCAGCTTCTGAGAGTCCTGGGATTACAGGCATGTACTACATGCTCACCTTAAATACAATGATAAGGAATTGGATCATATAACTATAGAAGCTGAGAAGTTTCATGGTCTGCCATTTGCAAGCTGGAAACCCAGAGAATAAATGGTGTAATTCTAATTGAAGTCCAAGACCCTGAGAACCAGGACGGCTGGAGGTATAATTTCTAGTCTGAGTGCCAGATAAGACTATTATCCTAGCTCAAAAAAAATCAGGCAGAGAGAATGAATTATCACCTATGTATGATCCTTCATTGTATTCAGGCCTCCAGGGTACCCAGGGTATTGAATGAAGCTCACTCACAATGGAAGACTAATTTTTCTTTGTAACTCTACCAACTCAAAGGTTAATCACATCCAGACACACTTTACAGACACTTCCAAAAAATACTTTAACCAAATACCTGTGCACCCCATAGCCTAGTCTAGTATACATATACAATTAAGCATCAGAGAGAGAGAGAGAGAATGAATAAGACAGAAGAAACTTTCTCCCTCCCATTTCCAGTACAGCTTCTGTGCAGATTGCCGTTTCTAAAGATGGCTGCAGGCACACACTCCCCTCAGCACACGCTCTTTCTTCTAATAATGTAGCCAACACTTCTCCCACTGAGAGGAGGGATCTGCAACTCTTTCCTCTGAATCTGGACAGGGGTTTGTAAAAGCTCCAACCAAGAGATAACAAAATAAGTGGAAACCTGTGGTCAGGTGAGTGAGTCCTAATAAGGATGCAAGTCCTCTTCCCTTCCTACCTGCTTTCCTTGGAACCCAGCTCCAGTGTTACTGGGAAGCTTAAACATTTTGACTCACCTGGAGTGGGGGTGACAGGAGAAGAGTTTCCCCCAGCTGACAGCTAGCATAGCCTCTCAGACACGTGACTGAGATTTCAGATGCTCCCAGCTCTTAGATTTTGTGTCTGAGATCCCAGCAACTGTGGAGCAGAATCAAGCCATTGTGGATGTACCATCTTCAAATTCTGTCCCATGGGATCTGAGAGCGCAGTGAGTGGGGTTGTCACTAAGTTGAGAGTGATTCATTGTGCAGTTCTAAGAACTGGATCACCACTTCCAACCTTTTCTCTACCTTGCTGTCCTGATGTTTTTCAACAATTCTTTTGTGGTATTTTCATGCCTCAGATCAAGACACTTGTGGGTTCCTGTTGGCTACAAGTTAAATGCTTGTCCAAGAGTGTTCTGTTTTCCCAGCCTCAGAACTTGTGCTATGGATGTCACCACCTGCTAAACATTAACCAGACTGAGGAAGCTCTTCAGATTCTAGAAGCTGTTAGTTTCCCAAACTCATGTGTGAGCAATAGTTCATTTGGCTATAAACAGGTTTTCATTGATTCTTAGCAAAAAGTTAGACTTTTCCATTTTCTTATAGTTATATCAGTTACATTTTGTTCCCTTATTTTTTTTTTCCTGGTACCGGGAATCGAACTCATGACGTTGCACTTGCCAGGCAGGCGCTGTGCTGCTGAGGTAAATCCTCAGCCCCAGTGTATCAATTGCACTTTAGAACTATCTCTGTCCTCTCATTTTTCTCTCTCCCTCCTTTCCTTTTTCCCTCCCTCCCTTCTTCCCTTCCTTGTTTCTTTTCTTCCTTCCCTCCTCTCTCTCTACTTTATCTCCCTCTCTTCCTTCCCGCCTTCCTTCTTTCCTTCCTCCCTCCCTCCCTTCCTTCCTTCCTTCCTTCCTTCCTTCCTTCCTTCCTTCCTTCCTTCCTTCCTTCCTTCCTTCCTTCCTTCCTTCCTTCCTTCCTTCCTTCCTCTCTTCCTTCCTTCCTGTTAAAATCCTTACTAGGCAGAATAAAAAGTTGGCCATTAAATACCAGTTTCTCAATTCTTAAAAAAAAATTAACACTTAAAAGTGTGAGAATCAATGGCCCACATAATGAAGTCCAAACCACTTAGCCTGGCATTCAATATTTTATGCGGTATGAATTGAGTCCTTTTCTAATGGTATGATAATTGGGCCCACCCACAATATAGTTCCCCATTATGTTCCTCAGGTAAGTTATGAACTTCTAAGAAAAGCAGATATTTAGTAAAGTGTTATTTCTTTGGGAAACATGCTTTAAAACACAATTCATTGGTTTAGGTTAATTTTTTAAAACATAAGCTACTTTGAAGTTAGGCACTTAATTCATAATGATTAGCATAAATCATATTTCCATTCCAATACAGGCTGTGCACACACTCAACTCTCATGACAGTCTACTTGCTCATGTTGACTTTACACACCCAGAGCAAAGTGAACATCCATGCACGGACAGACAGACTCTGTGGCTAGAAGGACAGAGCTCAGGCAAGTCCCATGCCATAGCTAAGCTAAGCTGCAATTCTGAGTTCCTGTCTATTCATGTGGTTCTCCATTCATCTCTGCATATCTGCTTTCAGGAGTTCTGAAAGTGACCTGATATGCAGTCTGATATTTGAGAAAGAGCCAATGTGGGTGCTACATACATAACTCATCCAGGTCCTTGACATTCCCCATTGTATTTGTCCACGAATCACTGCCCATCCCCAGGACCAGGAGCAGCTGCAGCTCAGTAGCCCTCTGCTGGAGAATGTAATTGCATCTTTTTTGGACTTGCAGCCATCTGGTCCAGCTTCAGTTAATCAGTGGCCTGCCACCTCGCTGGGATAATACTTCGTTTGGGGTTTGTTGACCTCTGTCCCTTCAAGTGGCCTGGTGTCTGGTGATTCAGAGTGATAAATACACACAGGATTCATAATAATGACATGCACGATTAGGAACACTTTCTCAACATTGTAATTCAATTTGCATTTAGGTCTGGTTAACCTGAGGGGCAGGCATGTTAATCCTCACACAATACAGATTGATTACTGCTTTCTCAAATTTTTCTTCCTTCAAATGACATGCCCCAGCAGCCTGGAATTTGTCAATTTAGGGTGCCACCCAAGGAGAACAAATAACTGACTTATAAAATCCATTGGAATAAATACATTACTTCTGTGTAGAGCAACAACATAAAATTATACCCCAAAGAAGGTACCCTATGTAATATAGTGTACCCCTGAGATATCTCTGTGCTGCTATTAAATTTATTAATGGAGCTGGGTGTGGTGGCACATGCCTGTAATCCCAGCACTTGGGAGGCTGAGGCAGTAAGATCATTGCAAGTTCGAGACCAGCCTGGGCTATAAAGTGAGCTCAAGGCCAGCCTGAATGGCATAGCGAGACCCTGTCTCAAAAAAAAAAAAATTATTAATAGGGGTTAGGAAGTCTCGGCAGTAATGTTGGTCTATCATGTCTACCCAGTCCTGTTGTTCGATGGAACTGGTGGACACTTACCAGCCTAAATGATAAAGGGTTAGGACTGGGAAAACAGATGGAGATGTTGGCCCCTGGCCTCATAAGGCTTTACCCATCTTTTCTGTGGTGAAGTTCTGTTACTCACAGTGCTCAAGGATCCCTTGCTCACCTCCTGAAATGTCAAGGAACCTGGGGATGTCTCAGTGACCTTCGTGGAAAACCTTAGATATCCCATCTTGGTGTGGAGGTTTCTCTGCTCTGGCTCATGCATAAAAATAGAACTGTAAAACAGGCAAGGCTCAGGAATTCCTCCCCCAATCCCTCTCTCTTTCCCTCCCTCCTTCATTCTCTCCTTGCTTTCTTTCTTTCTTTTTCTTTCTTTCTTTCTTTCTTTCTTTCTTTCTTTCTTTCTTTCTTTCTTTCTTTCTTTCCTTCTTTCTTTCTTTCACCTCCCTTCCTTTTTTCCTTCCTTCCTTCCTTCCTTCCTTCCTTCCTTCCTTCTTTCTTTCTTTCTTTCTTTCTTTCTTTCTTTCTTTCTTTCTTTCTTTCTTTCTTTC